GGCGGGGTTGACTTTTGTTACAGGGGTTTTTATTTTCTAACAAAGCTGTCACAGGGGTCACAGTTAAGGGGATTCTACCGTTGAGGGAGGGCACGAGGCGGGTGGGGACACGGGACAAGTGCTGTTGGTATTGGGGAGGGGCAGGGTTCCATTTGTTACTTGTTGGGGTTCATATGTAATTGGGGCAGAGCCAACTGGTACAGGGGGCTGGCCAGTCTGTGACTGGTGGGGGGTCCTGTTGTCAATGGGAGGACATCCAGGCAGTATTAGTGGGTGGGGCAGATTGGGACTTCAGAAGGGGTTGAGGTGGGTGGGGTTGCGGGGGAGCTAGTTACATTTGGGCACAGCCATTTTTATCTACATGGTGCAAGACCTGATGCCCAGAGAGGGGAGGGCAATATGTGTTTTTTCAGGGGGGGGCGGGTGGAGATGGGACACGACACAGGAGGTAGAGTCAGTAGGGATCTGGGGAGGAGCCAGCTGAAAGTAGAGGCAGCAGGGAAGAGGAGGGAAGGATAGAGGTATGACTTCCTTGTTTAGCCATTCCGTTTCCTGTTTAGATGGAGCAACATTATTTACCTCCTTCTGTGGAGGTCCAGATGAGCAGGCCTGAGCATGGAGCGACTGTGGAATCAGATGAAGGGGTGAAGGGCAGAGTGAGGAACTGGCTGGAGTCATCCCCTCCCCGATGAGCTCAGCTTGTTCTCAGTATTGTGATCCATGTCTTTTCCTTTCCTTTTGCACTGGAAGGAACAGATGCACCCTTACCTGCTGCTAGGGACTGCAGCCGCCTGCCCGGACAGTGGCAGGGGCAGCCAGCTGGGGAGGGTGAGAGAGATACAGGGCGTTATGACCTCTCTCAACTTAACCTGTGTCCGTGCCAGGTCTGAGCTGCAGCAGGGAGTGAAGGGGAGTGGAAGGTTTGGGGGTCACCTCTGACCTTTTTCCCAACAGCGTTTTTTATTTTATAATAATAATAATAATAATAAAAGAGAGCAGTGTTGCACGTGGACCTGGCCTTCTGTTACCTGTGTTTACCTCAGCTCCTAGGGTAATAGACCATATCATGAGGACACAGCTCCCATGCACTCCCCATGGATGGCAGATGGCACTGCAAGGACCTGTCTCCCTTGCAGCCCTTATTTGGAAGTCACAGCCTGAAATGAACCCAGATCTGCATCTCATAGATTCATAGATTGTAAAGCTGGAAGGGACCTTGGAAGATCATCGGGCCCAGCTCCCTGCATGGAGCAGGAAAGACAACAGGGGTCAGGTGACCCCAGCAAAGTGCCCGTCCAGTCTCCTCTTGAAGATTTCCAGGGTAGGCAAAAAAAAAACAACAGGCTCTTGTTTCTGCCCAGTCTCAAACCAGGGACCTTTCACATGTTAGGCAAATATGATAACAACTACACTACAAAAACCCATCTAAAGAAACTCATCTCAATCTCTTAACTGGGATGCTGAAATGCAGCTGCCCCTGCTCTTTGGCCAGAGACCTGGCTCTGCTCTTGGTAGCACATACACTCGGTGATCACACACAGTGGATGCACCCAGTGCTGTTCCCTGTCACATTCTCTCCATCACAGCAGCACAAAGCTCTGCTGTCCTTTGCTGGAGCCTTACACCTGGAATCTCCCAGTTAGTGCTACAAGGGTCACATCCTACAGGGCTGCTGAATCCCTCGTGTGGCATCCAACTAGAATGCACCTTCTCTGGCTGGAAGACAATGAGGTATGTGTGGCTGGGGAGGATAAATCAACTTATATCTGTAAATAGGGTAAAATCCAGGCCTGTAAAAAACAAAGCTACTTTGGTAGACAGGTTATACATTGGTAAATTATAGCAGGAAGCCAATTGGGAAGAAAACTCCTATGCCTAGAAATGTCGTGAAGTGCGTGACTCAAGGGCATAGAAATATAGTAGCAATTAATAGTTTGACTCAAGCCTGGTAATGAAGGGAAACGAGCTCCCTTGTCGGTCCCTTACATCTATAGAAAGATTTAAGCAGGAAGTTGACTCACGTGTGGTCAAACAGGAACAGGGGGTGTTAAACAAAACAGGTGAGTAGGAAACTGACTCATACCCCATTAATTGTGGGCAGAAGCCAAGTCAGGAGGCAGCACATACATATGCTGCCAGCTTCTGGATAGGTCCAGGTCAGAAGGAGCTGGCTGGGAGCTGCGGCCCTGGTAACACTGCTTCAGACCGTGGGTTTGAGGCAAGAGGTGGGAGCGTGGGTTTCAGCTGAAGTCCAAGAAAGCAATTAAAGCTGCAATCAGATGGTGGGCCACAGGTTGGGACCACGTTTGCTCCTGGGAGAGTAATAGGAGGACAACTCCATGCCTGGGGCAGCGTAGCAGACGGGGCAGCACTAGGTGCCTACAGTGGTTGCTATTTTTGCACCCTGTGCACTATTACACTATTGCTCTCTAGTGATTGGAACAGCCCCCTGCCCGCATTAAACCCCCTGCATGAGCAGTGATGGCAACAACTGAGGGCAGAGCCCCCCTCTCTCCTAGCAGGTTGGGTTCACCACGGTGCAGATCCCATACAGCAACCTGGCTTGGCTGCACCTTTGCTGCATGTCCCTCCACTGAGTAACTTGCAACTTAAAGGGCTGAAATCACAGTAAGGACTTGAGATCCCGCAGGTGGTGCCCGCAAGCCCCAAGGCCTCATAAGCCCCATCAGCTGCTGTTCGCAATGCAGTGCACATTACAGTCATTATGGTAAAGATGCACAAGTGCCTGGCTAAGGGCCCATTTTATGTTAACGAGGGCAGGAGCAGGCCCAAGGAAGGCCAGGCTCAGCTCACAGCGCAGAGGATTTGGTGGATCCCACGTGCCTCCACTGCAACGTAGAGGCCAGGTGTGACTCATAGCTCCGTAATTACGGCACCAGGGGCCAGACCAGAGCAGCAGCATCCCACAGGAGCGCAACCCTGGTGAAGGGTTCATGAAGGTGCAACGGCATCTGCTGCTCTAATTACGGTAGAAGCGCCTAGTGTGGAGCGCGCCCACGGCTCATCGCTCACGCATTACGGCACACGAAGCCAGAGCGCCGCGCGCCTGCGCAGTTCAGCGGCCGCTTCCAGGCGCCCCGCCCGTGCGCTGGTTGGCCCGCGGCGTCACGTGACGGGAAACTGCGGCCGGCAGCGGAGACGGTGGCTCCGAAGGGTCCTTCAGCGGACGAAGATGGCGGGGGGCGGCCCCGCGGCGCTGGAGCGGTGGGTGTCCGGGGAGCTGCACGCGCTGCTGGGGCTGAGCGAGCGGCACGTGGCCGCCTTCCTGGTGGGGCTGGCGCGGCGCAGCCTCAGGCCCGAGGACCTGCTGGGCCGCCTGGAGCAGACCGAGACCCTGAACGTCAGC